GCATTTTCCCAGAATTTTCTGGCTCAGGAAACGTGTCATCAAGGTATCTTGGTTATCGGGAATGTGAATTCTTCCGTAAAATAATACTTTAATGACGAATCTCACAAATAAATCAATGTTGAGTAATGGCCGCTCATATTGTATAAACTTTCTTATTCGTCTCGAGTAGTCTTCTGACGTCGGCGCCAGCGTGATCTCGCTGGGGAGGGAGGAGCCGAACACCGCGTCGAAGGGCCGCGAAAATGCTCGAAGTCGAGTCGCGCACAATCGAGTCGCCGCGAGGCGGTTTGCGAGCAAAGGCGCACAACGTCACCAACATGGGGAATCTCGAAACGCGCTAATGTTAAATTATTATCAAACATAATTAATACTAACAAACTGATAAATCGATTAAGTGTGCGTAAAGTGTTACAAATAATACAATTATTATGAAAGACAAAAATTCATATAAACGTGATCGCGGTACAATTATTGTGAAAAATAAAAATTTATTGTTATTTGGTATGAATTTATGAGAACCTCGGAATTCACGGTGACAAAATTCTCCTGCCTTTTTTCAGCTCGGCTGCGGAGACTTTTATAAGGTAGGAAACAAGGAAAGGGAAGGAGAAAGAAAGAGATAGAGAGGAAGGGGGAGGCAGAGAAAATACGTGTACGTATGCTTATCATCGTGTCAAGCATTTTATGCGTAGCAAGCAGCTGATTAGAATTGAGCGCCCGCGTCGGACGATGTGTTGCGCCGCCCTGTCTACCTTTCGTACGCGATCTATAATTCGCTCACTATTTTCGTTTATAATTCAAAAACTATTGTAAGTTACGTATAGAATTTTGCAAAAGAAAAATTGTCTTAGAATTATGTTAGGAATACGTAATTTTAAGGACAAATGTTTCATCTGAGACACTCTGTCTATTGAATTAATGTATTAATTCAATTTCAATGTTATTAATTTTATTATCAAAATTAATCATTAGCAATCTTAAATTTTATTGATAATAAATTCTAGAATTTAACGATTAATAAATAATTTAAAAAAAATAAATATAAATATATTTTATATATTGAAACTGTATTTATGTACCCATTCTCTAATACACTCGATATGCGACTCTTCTGACAAGTTTTTTAACCCTCACTGCAGCTCACTAGACGCAGAAGTTCGCATCCTCGTAATATTTGTGCGCTCGAAAACTCATTAAAAAAAAGTATTGCAACCAACCATTATTATGACCACGACCGTATATACAGATTCACGGTTCTGAAGCAAATACTGCAACGGAAAACATTTGAATGCGCTATGGTATAATAAAAATAGTTATCATATTTCTATGAAACGTTACATACATTGGGCTTTAGATTATGTTTAAAAACAATATTGTAAAGTAATTCATAAAATTTATCTTTTTCTTATTTCTTTCTCTGAACACTTGAACATTTTTATTAGGAATGCACCAAATATCCGAAAAGTATCTAGTATCCGGTGTCATCCGGCACTTTTTTACTATCCGACCGGATAATCGGATTAGTAGAAATATATCTGTTTGAAATTTGATATTATTAAATTGTTGATTTTTATTATACAAGTGTTCTAGAAATATATATGCATATTCATAATGCTATTGTCACGTCCTTCACGTTGAGGGAATGAACGGAACAGGAATTTTTAGACCAATTTAGCCGTGTCCAGGCTTCGGATCGCAAGGGAGCTGTAGGGAAAGACCGACGCAAATCGGGTGGCACTTCGCTTCGTAGCTTCAGAGGCATTTCCTGAAGTTTCTAATGAGCCGAAAGTTGAATGGAAGACGAAGTGGAAATTTCAACTCGTGCTTACGAATCGAACGTACTTTTAGTTTAAAGGGCCCAAACTGGGTCAGTGTGCCACGAAGGTGCACTTTAACGCTAGATATGTCAGTACATCCGTATGCCCTGACTTTTGGTCATGGAACATAATTCAAGTGATCGGGGAAAGGGCGAAATGCATTCGCGGGAGAACTTAGAATAAATATAAGGAGAAGTTGTCAAATAAACAAATAAAAAGGGGTAAATTTTACAATAGAAATATTATAAAAAAAGACTTGTTAATACATTATTTTGTTGTAATATAACTTATATACAACTTCTTTGGTTTGTTTTGTCTTGCTTAGATATGTTATTATGTGCGTTTGTGAATGCGTCGTGCGGCAGAAAGGAGAGGATAAACGGAATTAAAACAGGAGGTTCATAGGGGAGTAATATAATCGGGAAGACTGGGACGAGAGATGATACAAAGACGGATAATAATCTTCTTTGATTCGGACCACGCCTTTGTTAGTGGTGGAAACAGGTGTGAGAAGGTGGTAATAGATCAATTCGTCAATATTATGAAAAAGGAAGGGAAGAGTTAATGATAAGACTGGTGTCAGTAGGAGGGATTGATGGATAAGGGGATAGTTCGCGTAAAGGCGAAAGTATGGGGGAGGAAATAGGGAAGAGATCATCTGAAAGGAAAGTAGTTATAGAGTTCTTAGGAATGTGCGGACAGGGAAAATATGATATCTCTGTTTCTGGCGTAAGCTGAGGCGAGATTATTCGATGGGATTCGGCTTGATTTTCCTCGAACGTTAATGTTATAAGCGGATACGAGCTACCGGTCGGCGGGAACAAACAATCCCCGTGAGGCGACGGCGACAGAGAGCGAAATGATTGCGAGAACGCACTGCAATGTTTTTTTTATTTTCTATTACGAGGGAACTCGAAAAGAAAAACAGAAAAAGAAAAATGAAATAAAATACAATAATAAAATAAAATAATGTAAGAAAAATGAGGATTGTAGAGTAGCTGACTTATTATTGCGGTGATCTGCAAGATTTGGTAAAAAAACGAGAGAGCCCTTGTCGGCGAATCTGCTGGTATTTAGTTTTAGC